CCTGACCAGCCTCTCTTCCTTGTGCAGCCCAGACGAGGACTCCTGCCAGAAGTTTGTACCCTTTGTGGGGGTGAGTGCGTTGAGGGGCTGGTGGGCAACCGGGGCAGAGGGGCAGCGCACAGCCCTGCCGATGCTGGGGATCGTCTGACGTGTCTGTCCTTGCAGGTGGTGAAGGTGGGTCTGGTGGAGCAGTCCTTCAGCGCCTCTGGTGAGTCCTTGGGAGCTCCTTCACCACTGGGGGGAGGCCCTTGTCGGTTGACCCACACTCTTCCTCCCCAGTGGACTCAGATGATGCCACAGCCTGTACCCCCTCCCTGCTGAGCTCAGTGCCAGCCACCGGTGGAGCAGCGCCCTATGGCAAGGAGACTGTGAGCACCCCGCCACCCTCCCCATCTGTCAGCAGCAGCCTCTCGGGCGCTGGGTAAGGAAGCCCTGCTCCAGTCAGAGGCAGTGTGTTTGGGTGGGAGGGTTGGAGGTGCTCAGTGGCTGGGCCGCTGTGCTCCCAGGGCAGGTAGCGGCTGGGCTGTGGGGAGGGAGGGGAGTGAGGATGGCACCCGTGTGCTGAATGGTGTTGCCCATCCTGCCCAGGTCTCTGAGCCCTGGTGTGGAGGTCATGGGCCTGCAGGTGGACTACTGGACAACACAAGGGCTGGACAGAAAGAAGGAGGGCGAGAAGAGGGAGACGGGTATCAAAAACACACTCAAGAGCAACTTCCGCTCACTCCAGGTCAGCCGCATCCCCTGCGCAGGGGAGCTGGTGCCCCCCAGCACCATGGCCATGACCGTGGTCACCAAGGAGAAAAACAAGAAAGGTAACCAAGCCCACCCTGGGGTGCTCTCTGGCTGTGGGGCCACAGTCCGTTGCAAAAAAGGGCAGGGGGGGCAGCTTGCAGGTCTGAGACTTGCCCCAGCAGGGGCCAGTCAGTGCAGCCAGCCCTGGGGTGAGGCCTCCCACCCGGGGCCAGCTGGGGACATCCTAAGGTTGGTCCTGTCTGTCTTTGGCTTCCAGTGATGTTCCTGAGCAAGAAACCAAAAGAAAAGGACCTGGAGCCCAAAAGCCAAGTCATCGAAGGGATCACACGCCTCATCTGCACGGCCAAGCACCAGAACACCATGTTGCGAGGTGAGGGCTGTACT